GGTTTCATCATGATATTAATCGGCAATATCTTTTGCATCATTGTATGAATCTGCACCCAAAATTTCCTTGATTTTTCACAAGTCCACCATGCATGATAAAAAGTCCCCTCTTCCTTTTCACACTTCCGACGTTGGTTTGATATTTCTTTGTACAGTTTTGTAAATTTAACCAGTGTCATATACCAACAATTCATAATTTTATAAAAGTTCTCTCTTAAATTGTGACACAATGTAAATTGAACCCACATTTTCTCCCATATATCCATATTCATATTATAATCAAAATTTGCAGCCCATTTCACCACACATACCTTTTACCTTGTGTTGTTGTTGTTCTTGTTGCTCCATGCCAGCCACAGTCCTTCAGGACGGAGGTGGGTTTGTAAAATAATTTCCAAACTAGACGAAGGTGGACGAGCACCACTTTGGCACTCCTGTGGGAATGATGGGAGAGCTGTTCCTAGGAAAAGTGGAGAAATCCTGGATTCAGCAGAACTGGGGTTCATGGCAGCATGTTCCCCGTGTCCCGCTCAGAAAGCACCTCAGGTTGCCCAGCTCCTAAGCCACCATTCCCCCTGTAGTGACCATTTCCTCCGAAAGCGGTAAAGGTGATACGAGATCATGTCACCACATTTCCAAAAGCCCCTAACCATGCTGGTTTGCTGGGTTAGTGACTGACGTTCGGGAGGTGGGGTGATACCTTCTCAACAATCGCTACAGGCAGACACTAAGAACAGGCAGGCAGGAGCCTAAAGAGAAAGACACTCCAGCAGTGCTCTTATTTGGCCAGGACTCCAGAGTTCACAATACTGAGGCAGACCAGAGGAGGAAAGACTTACTTTGTTCGCAGAGACATAATTTAGCCTAGGAAGGCTTGGCAATCGTGCATCAGTCAAGTCCCATTCGTAGCTCCTTTTCAACTATTTCTCACTAAGGAAACTGGGAGAGTGGGGACAAAGAAATTAGAAAATACGCCAAAGTATGATTTCCTCTCCTGTGTTAATTTTCTATTTTTTTAAAAAAAAGACTCTCCAGAGGTGTCTTCAGTACCATGTCTTGGGTCAATCTCTGGGAAACCCTGAAGCCCTCAAGACACTTTGTTTGGATGAGGCTCCCAGGGGCAAAATTCCCAGTGATCATTTGATGGCAGCAGAGACACAACGAGCAATTACCTGTTATTACCATCTAATGGCCTTCTGGATTTCTGCAGCCCAGATCTGATAGCTCCAGCTTTGGATTCCACCAGAATTCAGCCAGAAATCAATCAGCTCAACTCACACACACAGATAACAGCACAAGAACAGTGAGGTGCAGAATTGATTCTGGGCCAGCGGATAGAGCCATGAGTAGTGCTACGAATATCAAAATGGTGTGTTATAGCTCGTTGCTCTTAGGAATACAAAAAATGAAAGGAAAGCAGAATAGACAACACTGAGATAGTTGGCCACATTCTACACGTCACTTTTACTTAGCTTTTCAGTTCTTTGCAGAAAATGTTGATGAACAGGGGTTTTCTGACCACAGCTGATCCAAACAGCTTTCAGTTCTTTGCAGAAAATGTTGATGAACAGGGGTTTTCTGACCACAGCTGATCCAAACAGCTTTCAGTTCTTTGCAGAAAATGTTGATGAACAGGGGTTTTCTGACCACAGCTGATCCAAACAGCAGGTTTCCAAAAAGCAACAGAAACAAAGAAGCAAAAGTCTTGAGGCTGCAAGAAAGATAGAACTGCCTTCACTTCTGGTCATGTTGAATCTATTCTACCCTACAACACAGCCCCATTAAATCCTCAAAGGCTAAAAGGTAGCAAATGCCACACGATGACAGGATTATGCAAAACACTTCAAAGGAGCGTTTCACAAAGCAGCTGGGCAAAAACTGAACATCTCTCCTAAAAGTCTAAAAGCAGCCATGTCCTCCAGCAGTGTCAAGCTGCTTTCCAGCCATTTCTCACTTGTGTT